CCCATCCTAGAAACCTACAATAAATTCTTGCTTCTGAACAGTTACATTACACACATTAATTTAACCCTTAAGATTGCAACCAAGGCCGACCTCATCAATTTCAGTGCTGTAGCACTGTACAGAGAGCACTGTTTGTGGATAGCTGACCGCCTGAATGGTTAGGCCAGAGAAAGGGTGAGAGGAAGCTTGACCATCCTTATTTTACAGATGGGAGACTGAGGCACAAGGAAGGAAAGGAGGGGCAGGAAAGAAGGGATAGATGTAAGTGATATGCTCAAGGCCACCCATCAAGACTGCTGCTGAGTGAGAACATGAATCCACTTTTCTCACTCCACCCCCTTTCCCTCCTCTCTGCATACAAGGTCTCCACTCTCAGAGCTGCATGAGAATCTCAATGGGTCAATGCTATTGTGTACAGTGGTTACCAAGAGGAGCCCACATTTCCACAGGTGCAGAAGGGTAGAACTCAATTTGCAGCTCTTGATTCAGCCCAGCAGAGAAAGGAACAGTGCATAAGAAAGCACTCACATCCTGCTCCCTAGGTTTAAGGAAGGAGAGAGGGCTGGCAATAGAATCCTCAGTTACAGAACACAATGAAGAATTACAGGGAAGCACAGTAGATGAGCATTACCTGATCAGCACCAACTCCAAAAAGTGGTAGAAAAATGTGGTAGCCTAAGTAAGCATTTTAAAACGCCAATTCTGCCATTTTGGAGGAAGCAGAACAGCACAGGCCAATATGAACTCCATGGATCCAAGAGCCAAAAAATTCAGGATGCAATTCTAACCAGTCTGATGGCTCTCTGTGTTACTTACATGGAAATCACCCCAACCTTTCTTCTTTAGCTTCAGACTATAAATGCCTTGAGGCAAGGACTAACCACCTCTGTCTTCATGTCATGCTCACCTGTGGACAGTCACCACACTTGAGTTTAAAACCTGTTACTACTCAGAGGTAGTAATGCAACTCTGAAAGCTTAAGCCTGTAATAGTTTATGTAGCTAGAGGTTCACTTTATTGCCTAAACATTGTTTTTAAATAGGTTAGAAAACACAACCACAAGAACAGGTAGGTCGGGAAAGGGAAGAGCCATTGGTACCTGCCAATCTGTGTTTCCTAAATCTTCTCAAAATAAGAAAGAAGTTTGCTCCTGCTTGACAAAAAGAGAGCCCAAGCACAGCATGGCCCCACACAGGCACAGAAAGCAGTAACCCAGCTAGAGATCTGCTGTGGAATCACCCATTACTGGCACTAGCAGACCCATGTGTTGGTAGCGTAGGCTCCCTGTAAGGGAAAACACACACCTTGTGGGTCTGCACAATGAAGCCCCAGCAATTGTGGCTTTTTAGGAATTACTCTTAGAGGATTTAGAAACCCACAGGAAAAGAGCTGGCTTGATTATCTCTCAGCCAACTGGAAACATGGCCCAGCATGCTGAATGGAAGGTATCTCACCAAGCCTTAGGTAACATCTACAGTTCCATTGATAGCCCAGCTGACCAACAGAATTCCCCATCCCTGACAAGCACAAATGGATTTCCTTTTAGGTTTTTATAGGAAGTATTTGATGCACACATACCAGTAAAATCAAGATTACTTTAAGTTAGCTATAGTCTGGTTTCCAGAATACACAAAACATTATATTCACCCCTAACCTTCGGTCTACACAACATAGACTGCATTAGTAAGAACCAAACTGTCCTGGGCTCAGCATTTTGTGTTTCATTTTATCTATCTGCATATATTTCAGCATTTGTATTCAGGGCAACAAGCCTATTTTGAAGCAAATCCACTAACTGCCCCCAAAACCACATCCAAGCTTGTCTTAGTGTGGCTTAGAGTGGCACACAGGCTAGGCACCTTCTCTCTACAGTTTTGGACCATAGCCATGGGGATGTATTCAGTCCAAACTATATCCCCACCACCCAGCACTGGTATACACACAGCAGAGACTCAACGGGCTCAGCACTGCCTGCTTTGATCACTGGCACACTCCTACTGCACCAGATCACTCGCTAACAAAGGCAAAGCAACTTGGAAATTACTGAGAATTAATTGTTCTGTTGATGTGAGCATTCTAATAGGGAATAATCACCCCGAGTGGAGATAAAAGTGAAAAGCAAACTATAGACAAATTCCTGTGGTGAGAGCACCATGGCAATGTGTGTAAACTGAAAAGGGAGGAACAAAGTCACAGAGCGCATGTCTTGTCTGTACTACTGTGGAAAATGTTTCCACCAAGAAGGTGGTCCTTTGAGAACAGCAGAGCTCTGTTCACAGAAACAGTTCTCCCTCTGAAAAGAATAGGTTGTAAGGAGACATGTTTCCTCCAGAAATATGAATCCCAATTCTTTTTTTACTTCAAAAATAGACGAATCACCGAAAATCAGAAATGTGTTAACAGTTCAACAACTCACCAAGTGAACTTTTCCTTTGCTCTAGATCAAATGAGACTGCTTGATTTTTTGCTTTAACATTTTGAGGTTTTGTTCCAAATTACAAGCAAGTTAGCAGGTTAGTTTTTAAGAGAATACATCTCATAGAGAAGGAAAGATTATCACCTACAGTCTTAAAGGAGAAACAGTGATTAAGTATTACTACCTTATAAAGGTGTCAGCTGGTTCAAAACCCGGCAATAAGCGCAAGAACCCCCCACATACACCTTCCCCCTATGTAACTGCCTCTGTCTGAAAAGAACCAAACAGATGTAGACCTTAACATTTACCCCATAATTTTCCTAGCCAGCAGTTTGTCAGCTCATCCCTTGTTAATATAGTCCTACAAAAAGCAAGATTATAAGACAAACCAACTTTCTACTCATGTCATAGTAAGAAAGAGGGTAAGCATCAAACTCTATGAACACACTTGAGCCCAGGAGAAGGGAGGGTTTGGCATTCTGTTGCCCAGTCATCCCTGGTTTCACAGAATACTGTAAACACAGTCATAATGAATCTCTCTATTTCAAAAGCTGCCAGATAGAGTACAGATATGTGGTAGGACATGACAGCACTCTTGAAGCTTTCCATCCAAGATGTTTACAGGCTATAATGAAAACCAAGTTTCTTCTATTGCCCAAATCAATAGACATTCCTTTAAGCCACTGGAAAACAGGAGACTGAAGAGAGACTCACAGTGATTAGCCGATTTTTTCCCTGACAGTTTAATGGGTTTCTAGGAGTGACATATTAGCCAGTGGAATACCGATACAGCTTTGCTTTCTGCCTTTCCACCAATGAGAAGTCTGCCTGGGTTTGGGGTTAAAACAGACACACAAGCAATTCTAACGCTACTGCACAGAAGCACATCTCTGCATTTTTAGGCTGAATGGAAGCTTCACCCCAGAAAAGAAACAGTAAGCATCAGAATACCGCCTACTTGATCTGAGTTAATAACTGCCATGACATTACACTGCTTTCTCAGTAAGGGGAAAGAGTTATTTCTCTCAGGTTCCATTAATCACTTTGGAAACTCCAGAGGCAATGAGGAGCAAAACAAGTAACATTCAGCTGCATGAAGCAGAGCATCCAGCCAAACCCTGCTTGCTCAGAGACAGATGGCAAATACAGCCACTGCGCTGAAACTACAGCTGCGTGCCCGAGATCTCTTCAGATCTGCATGTGTGATCATTAAAGATTTTCAAGTTACCTAATAGAGCAGAGTCTCCTGGAGATTTGGGGTTCCAGACTTTTGTTTTCTTTACCAAGGACCATATTAAACTTACCCAGAACCAAGTCAAAAGGAAAGAGTTCTCAGGCTTTTCTATTTAAAGGTGTTATAAACACACAAGCACTGAGTGGGCTTAATTCTTTTTCCTGCAAGTGCACTTTGCTCACACTTTGTATCAGCAGGAACAGTTGGGAACAAGTTATAGCAGGAAGGCTGAAGAGCTCTCCCTGCACCTTTTCCAGCCTGGACACCTGCATCACCCTGTTCTTTCTCCAACTGCTCCAGAGAAGAACTTTGACTTTCCTTGGTACCCATGGGCTCAGTATACAAATACCTACATGCCTGCCTGTTTGGAGAGCTCCATATAGAGTCCATGACCACATAACCAGCTTATTGCATACACTGCTGGTCAGATTCTATTCAGCCCAGTGTAGTCACTAACCATTGTGTGCAAGTGCAGAAAGCCCACACTGGCAGGGCTCACACATAACAGTCAGCTGCACTGACACTGAGAAAGCATTTATTTTGTGCTATCAGTGGGAGTTCCTATCATCAATACTACACACTACTCAGACTAGAGTGAAGGAAGAGGTCACCCAGTGACACACTGTGTGCCTTTCATCACTTGTTCCCAATACATGTGAGGCTGCTCCATCCTAAGAGCCTGGCCATAATTCAGTTTCCAAGGCTGGACAATGACGGAGTTGATTATTTCAACCACGTTGGTAAGAATCTGACAATATACCAGGCTAAGACTCAACACTTGCTATTAACACTCATCAACCAGCTCAGCAAGAAATTTCTCTCTGAAAAAAACCCTTTACTCTTTCAGGGTAGGAAGCATCTGTTTTGACAATGCTTAATATCAAAATATCCAAATGTCTTATTTCAATACTGACTTCTTTCAATATATCTAAGAAATCAAAGCCAACTTCAGCTTTGCCTCTTAGGAGCACTAAACAAAGCAAAATTACTTCCTCAAATAAAAAATTATAGCATTTCTGAATCAATATTTTTACTGAAGCATGTATGGCAAGAGTTAAAAAAGTATTAATTTAGGATATTTTTTTTTTAGAGTTCTTACTACCCATGGCATGGAATTCTTATTTCCTACATAGCTAAGTATGCTTCCATTCCTTATTACTGGTTACATGTGTGAGGGGCTTTGTTTGTTTGCCTTTAAGTACATAAAACCTTCCTGAAGGCTGTTGGAGGTATGTTTTAAACATGGCTTGAGTCCCTAACTCCCCTAAAAGACCACAACCAAAAACATGCCTCAAAACATGGTCCATATAAAATACCACAAATGTAAATATGGGAGGCGGTTCTCACTACCCGATTTGTGACCATGATTAATTCTCTTCAGCCACAGGTATTTGGACTGTAAGCCAAGCTTTCCAGGTAGGAGCAGGTCTGAAAACAAACGGCATAAAAATAAGCAGTTCAGTTTGATATCTGGACAACTGATTTGTCAGCCTGAAAAACCAAAGAATTCATTTGCAAAGGACAAAGACGGAGCTGTGAATGCTCCATCCCTGGCAGTGTTCAAGGCCAGGCTGGACAGAGCCTTGGGTGCCATGGTTTAGTGTGATGTGTCCCTGCCCATGGCAGGGGGGTTTGAACTTGATGATCTTAAGGTCCTTTCCAACCCTGACTATTCTATGATTCTATAATGCTGCCATCTTCTAGACTGACAGCCAAACAAACTGGGAGATATGTATGTAGACATGACCACAAACTAAAGAGGTGCTGAGTCAGTGAGCACTGCACAATGAAAGTCTTGGGCAAGGAGTCCCTAGGAAAAGGTGTGTTTACTTCACACAAACAGAACAAGTAGGCTAGATTGCAATGCAACTTTTCTTTCTGGCTATGACTGATAAAACTCATATGCATGCAAATGGGAGGAGAACAACAACAACAAAAAAAGGCCTTTGCTGAGCTGCATTAACCTGGTTATTTAGAAAGCTCATCTCCAGAGTCAGAGCAACACTTCATTACATAGCTTTGTTCTACAGAATTTCTTGGCCATGTAAACTACAGGCACTCTATCATAATGGCTTGAAAAATAAATCCCTTATATGTAAAGTTTATGCAAACAAGAAAACCAAAACAACCCATCTCATTATCTTCTTCAACCAGTTACATCAAATAGAAACAAACAAAGATATCTCCTGTGTGCAGGGAACAGACTGATGCTGGTTTCACAGAGGAGTGACCGACTCCAGTAAATTAAATGCCCAGGGCTTCAGAGATGTCATCTGGTCCTAATTTTCCATCGGCAGTAAAATGATATGTTTTTCACTTTCATTGTAGCTTGTTTTCATCTACTTTATGTTCCAAGGCGTCCTGCTTTTCAAGCTCAGATCCATCACATTAAGAAAATGGACTTGAAAAAATGTACAATAGCCGACGTAGTGGCACCGCTGAAGCAGCTGAGCTCCCGCACTCTGCTGCCTGCAGAATCTCTCTTCTTTATGCCAAAAGGAATTGGGAGCAGAGAGAAGTACATGGGAGTTACACACATGGACTCGGCATGGATGCAAAGCATCCAACTGCTTTACCTTGCAGAAATAGGGTGAAAGCACCACCTCCTCCTCCAATTCTCTGCAGGATCCAAGTGCCTGAAGGACTGGCCTCTCCTGCACTGCATTTTGGCTTCTCTGAGGTTTGCCTAACATTTATGAACTGTAGATGCTTTAGATCTATTCTGAGACATTGCACTCCACCAACAGAACAGGAGAGGAAAGGAAGAGAAAATAATGAAGTTGTCATAATCACCAAGCCTTCCCTCTATGTCACCATACATCATCCCTCACCTTCCCTAGTACCAACAGCCTACAGCAATCAATTCACTAAAAGCTTATGGAGACAAGTCCATAATTGCAATTAAAAATACATAGTTGCAGTGCCTCTAGTGCCAGGTACAACATAAATCACAGTACTTTGCATAGGGACAGTTAGTCCTCATATAACCATGAATGACAAGCCTTAGCCAACTTCCCAGATGAAACATAAATAGATGATATGGCTATAAGTGCTCAGAATACAACCGTGGTACATGCTGCGCTACAGCTGCAAAACTGATCTTGATGTCAACTGCAAAATCCTCCCCAAGAAGGAGGATAAATATATGGTGATCAGGCTGTGCCGAGCTCCATGCTGCTTTAAGGACATTGTCAGCACTGCCAGAGGGAGACAGTTACACATTCGCAGCACCATGTTTGACTGCACCAGAGAAGTATTCCAAAAAGATCAATTTGCTTACCCATAAAATTAAACCACAGTTTTACTGGTCCCATCCAGATTTAATTAGAACATGTTTAGAAGGCAATTTTGCAGATGTTCCCAAAGTACCCTATCCGTGCAAGAGGCCAGCCATGAGGACACTCACTGGGAAGAGATACACAACAGCTCCCAAGACCTAAACAACCTCTCCTGAACACCTGATGAATTGAACTCCTTGAAACAGATGTACACAATGTAAGTGCACATGTATTTCATATGAAAGATTCTGCTAAATCAAGTAAACGCTCCTCTTCAGCTTTCCCACCTCCCCATTGAAATAAGGAGTCTCGCTTCCCATCCTGTGGTCTGAAAAACATAAGTAATTAAGGCAGATTGTAGCCCATCAGTCAGACAGATTTCCCAGGGTAGGATTGCTCAGCCCCAGCACTCCCATCACAGTGTTGCTTCCCACCCTGTTTCTGACTTTCAGTCCTGCTGCCAAAATCTCTCTCACTGTTCCTCCATGTATTCCTGGTTTTCTTTCTTCACTTGCAGGGCCACATATCTACGGCTCTCTCAAGACCCTGCAGGACCTTTCTTGGCTGGTGTAAATCAGAAGGAACATTTCTTATCCAAGACAACAGCAACTCAGCCTACAGCAGTAGAGGAGTTGGCCTCTAACTCAGTGCCTTTATCCCCATGTTCATTTCTACAGCCCACACCTCTTTCCCTCTAGGAATTCAGTATCTGGAGTCAGGTTTGCCTCATTCACCATAGATTTGACCCTGAACACACAACAATCAAATATGAAGTTTGCATCTAACTGAGTATCCAAGAATTTTGTCTTATTTCATTTACTCTGGCTTCCTCTACACTCCTTATCCCAAGACCATGATGGACAAGATAAGCTCCATAGGAAGATGCTGGCACAACTGCCCTTCCTTGTAAGTGTCTATTAAACAGGCACAATGAGGGTGAAAAGAAAACAAAAGCATCATACTTGGCACTAGGAGTCTTTCTACTGACTCTAAAAGGATCTCCATGTTTTAAGACAGCTCTCTTTCTCATCTAAAGAGATGTCCTTTTCTTCATCTATCTCCATAGGGATTTCCATGGGGACAACTTGCATGGGGAGCTTGCATTTACCAAGGTTCGCTTAAAACACCAGTAGTTGTTAAAGTTTCACTTAATCCTGTTTTGTCTCAGCTCCCACAGCTAAGCCTTCGCTGTTCATTTTAATAGTAGCCAAGGAGGAAAACTAAAGAGACTTGTACATCCCTGGTTTTGCACTCTGCATGTAGAAGGGAGGAGAAAACATACAGTAATATTACTTGAATTTTCCAAAGAATTCACAACATAAAACTAAGAGTTGCCTCACCTTTAATGGTGCTGTGCTTTAGGCATTTAGAATGATTTGCCTTAACTATTTTCCACCAGGACTACCATGTCTGTTGACAGGTACACCTCCCTAAAGCTGTTAGGTTTTGCCTTTTAAGAAGGAATGCGAGAACAGCAGCTTCATTTGTACCATATTCTCCCTCTCTTGCATACAATCAGAGGGGTGAAAGAGACGGGGGGAGAGGAAGAATTCCACAACATAATCATTTGGCAACTCGTATTATTTTCTTTCAAAGGGCATTACAATACACTTCTCTCACTTGGGGAACTTCAAGAGAAGATAATTATTCTTGTCTGCCTTGTAATATATATTAAAAATGTTCAAATGTGGCTTTCCAGGGAATTCTGCCAAATATTTTTAGGCACCAGACCCAGCTTTACTTAATTTTATATTGCCTTCTTAGTCTTTTATAAAATACCCTTCCATGCAGTTTGAATTTGGTAGAAAGGCTGAAGCATACTCATTTATATTAGAAACATAAAAATCCTTCTTTCCTTGAAATAGAGATCTTTAACTCCTAATGTGACAGCCATTCAGATGTACAGTAATTAAAGTGTCTCTACAGAGCTCAACACACATCAGTGAGCTTTTACTGCCACAAAACCCAAGCAGAAACCGAGAGGGGAGGGTTTGGGGATTTTTTTTTAGGAGACAACATATCAAGAATAGAAAGTAGCTTCAAACATTTTTGTTTTATAAGCACTTCAGTAGCAGTGCAACAGTAGCACCTTGAGCCTCCAAAGACCAGAGCCCTGCTGCATGAGGCATTATAAAAGCTTCAAAGATGCAACTCCTAAACCTTTAAGTGCTGTCATCAACTACAGTAAAGTATGGGATTACAGAACAGTTTGTTGGGGTTTTTTTAAAGCCATTTGAGGTAGCAATCATCTCTCATTATTAGCAATAATGTTTATTACAAGGGATAAAGCAATGGTAGTGGGCAAACCAATCTGCTCCAAGGAGTTTGCAGTCTAAGCAAGCAGGAATGCCAATCCCTGGACACACAGACAGAGCTCATTATACAAGAGCAGAACACACAGAATTGGAAAAAGATAAGCTAAGTAACAGAGAGGGAGGGATGAAACAGATGCAGGGTGAATTTGAAGGGACTATACCCACAGTACCACAAGGCAAATAAATACTACAGAGCTGGCAGTCTCGAGACAAAGAACAAGTGGGAAGCAGTGAGGCACAAAGAGTCGCTCTAAATCATGCAGCACAGCAACTAGCCTGTTGTGAAGGCTAGTGAGAAGCCTGACAACCAGATCCTCACTTTAGCATCCACACAGTGAATTCTGACACTTCACTTTTTAAAACTTCAAGTCTGTGCTATTATAGCCCAGTGAGAAAGGCCAGGCAACCCTTATCTTGAACTTCCAAACAGTCAGACATGATTTACACAGCAAGATCAAGCCCACAGTATTCCCATCAGTTTGCTTTCTGGATGTTTCACTGTCTTCCCCCTCTTCTTTTAAAAGCCAGCATCAGAAACTGTAGATAATTAGCATAAAAGTCCATGTGAAATGTTGTATTTGTTGAAGTGTTTGTTTTGGCTTCCTAAAACAGGCTGGAATCCAGCTCTTGGGCTCAGCCCCACCTTCGTTATATTTGTCCTGTTGTGCACAACAAACCTGAAGCCACATTTAAATATGAAGCACTTGGAAACTATATTAACCCTATCTCTTTATCGTTACTCACATTAACTCCCTTCACAACTGACCCATAGGTTGAATGGCTGACCTAGCTTGTTTTAAAGGATAGCAACACAGCTTTACTTGTCTTAGCTTTCCCTGATAATGAAAAGGAAGCCAGCTCAGACTGCATGTTGAAAACTGAAACAGCTGAGTGGACTCCTCCTACCTCCTCTCTTGCAATTTCATCTTTTATGGTGGCAGGCTAGTCTGTGCCAGACAAACTAAGATTTCTTATGTTCTTCAGTCACTTGGCTGTTCTTCCCCATAGATACTCCAGCAGCAGATTAACATCAAGGCACGCTGTGCCAAACACATGAATCTCAAGATTTCAGTCAAGCAGGAATGCTGCTGGATAGTCTCTTTTGCTGTTTAAACCAAGGGATCCCAAATGAACCTTGTCTCAGCATGCTTGAGTAACAAGTAACTCTCACCAGCACCAACAAACATGGGTGTATGGTCAAAATCAAGTCCCTTAAATAGTGTCTGAAGGAAAACAGTTGCATAGGGAAGTGAAGCGTTCCCTCTTTGGCACACAGCTGCATATGCCATCCACACAATTTCAAAGCGTTGGATTTCACAGAGGCGAGGAAACAAACATCTGCTCTGCTCCCTGCAAAGCCAAGGGCAGGAGGTGCTGCCTCCACAGACGAGGTGTTTTCTCCACTGCAAGCACACCCAGCAGCACACCTACTCAGAGGATGAACACTGCACAGAGGAAGCACCTAAACTCACAAGCCAGTAGCACCCTCATTTATGACTTTGCATTGCTAAGGTACCACCCCTACTGAATGGATTAGGGCAGGCCTGCAGGACACCTGAAGCCTTGCATCCCTTAGGACCAGCAGCCTGTGATAGAAGGGCCCAAGCAGACATCAGTTCTTTGGACAGCAGACCCAAGGACATGAGAGAGGAATCAGTTGAGGAGAATGCTCTCACTGCCACCACCTCCAAACTCAGCAGCTCCCACTAAGTTTCTACCCTCCTACTTAGTCTCTAAAATGGGAAGGAAAACACAACTCTGAATCTTCCCCTTCCCCCTACCAGAGATGATAACCCCTTGTTTAAACACCTCTAAATCCCTCAAAGACACAGGTGAGAGAACAGAGAGGTATCTTCCCTTAATGGGAAAGCTACAGACAATAACAGAAAGGAATAATAACTAAAAAGAAGTGGAAATGAAAAAGTCAGATAAGAAGAGCACACTGCCCTGCTGTATTTAACACAGGTTTTTGTCCTAGAGCACATGGAAATTAAGCACTCATAAATCACCTGCTGCACCCTTTTGCAACAAGACCCAGGTATCTCCTTTAAAGTGAGCAAAATCCCTATTAACATTAAAGCATTCTTACCGAGGCCATTTACCTGGATTCATCTTGTACACTGCTCTAGCACAACCATGTAGCAACACAGTGGTCTCACCAGCCTGTCCTGCAGATCTGCTCACGGTGATCGCAAGATAACTCTTAGGGGAGTACAGATCCCATTAAGAAGGCAGGGACCTGGGGAGCCCACAGCTCCAAAGGTCATCCTAAGCTCAGCAGTGCACTGCAAGCAACCCAAGCTTAACAGAAAGTATAGAAGACCAACTCCTTGCAGTTAGAGGCCAAGCTGATCTCAGCCTGCTGACAGCTACTGCTCCAGGTCTACTCCAGTCTGCCTCTGCAGCTCAGCCCTCCAGCCAGCCCATGACCAATAACCCCAGGATTTTTAGGCATTTACTTAAGTGCAAACCACACAGGGGAAACCACCCAAACACAAACCAATAGGACAATCAATCCTCAGCAACTCCAGATACAACACATACATACTTTCAGTTTCCCTCCCCTACAGGTCATTTTCCACATATACCAGCCATGGAAACTGTACCCTCACACAGATGCATCTTAAAGCAACATAGCCCTTCAATAAAATATCAAGCTGAAGACTACTAACCTCAAAGAGGCCTCTTTCCTGCGCCAAACTTGTTCCTAAACCATAATGCAAACCTCCTTATAGAAGACCAACTCCAAGACCAACTCTTTCAGGAGAGAAAATCAAGCTCTTCTCCGGGTGTGCCTATTTAAACTGCTGCTGGCTTCAGGTGTTGCCACTCTCCACTGATTGAGCCCTCTGCCCCTCCCCAGAGGCTCCTGACAACTCTGTGTTTGCCAGCTGAAGGTTTAATTGAGCTCAGTGCATCTCTTGAGGATGATTAACTGAAACCCCACACGTGGACAAGTTCATGGGTATCCCAGTTAGGCCTGTGTGCAAATCTAGATTGCCCCATGGATTCTACACATGTAGCAGTCACCTCTGATGCTGTGGTGACAAAAAATGGTTGGTTTTCATGCTGTCTACAGAAAACAGGTGTCAGCACCTCCAAAACCATCACTGCGAGATGATGGACATAGCGTTTTGATCGTTACTTGAACAGTATTTGAACAGGCAAACTTCAGCCTTCAGCGGGATATATCTGTCTCCTGTACAATTCCAGGAAAATAGAATCACCATTTGACAGAAGGGATACTACATGTACAACCCCATATATAAAAATCTAAAAGTCTAAATGACGATAAACTCTCATTTTCCTAAGGAAAAAAACAGTCTACCATTAAAGTAAAGCACCCTACCAGCTGATGGACAACTGATAGAATAGCTATAATGCTTTTTCCCAGTATGAGAAACTATAATCCATGATTGCCTGCATGATCAATCTGCAGATTGACAGAAAGATATGAACTATTTGTGTGATCAGAAAGGGGAAAAAGAACCTTCAAGCTGATACAGGTCAAACTATGGAATACCAGGGCTTGAGTAGGTCTGTAATCAGCCCACAAAAATGCCTCCAAAGAGTAAGATCTATAAATTAATGTCAATGCAGTTGTGCAGTGGGTCTGCAAGATGAATTAAAGGTTGACAGTGGTTTGCTCTCCTAAATGTTTGCAGTCCAGGGCTCCAAACAGTACAGCTTATGCTCTTCATCTATCAGCAGCTTATGTTTCTAAAGCAAAATACCCCAAAACTGATACGCCAAAGTACAAACTTCTCAGAAGACATTCTTCAAAAGCTAAAGGAGAATTGGATACCAGTGTTTTGCAGTTAAAAGTGCTGGCACTTTATAAAGAGCAGCCTTTTGTTAGAGACAGGAAGTTTAGTTTATTGCCTGGTGTATACAGTTCGCCCACCACATTATTTTGGGCTATTTTCATTCCTCACACAGTAAAGAGGAAATTCTAAGAACATTTCATTGCTTTTCTTTGTTTGATGAACAGCAAAGGTTTGCAGTTTACTCACCACTGGATTGCTTTGCTACTTCTGACATACAGTTTCACTTCACACAGATCCTCTGGAGGATAAAACATTTGTTCTTTATAAAAATCAGTTGTTTCTGCCCCATTCATTTTAAGTCCGTCTCTCACCCCCATCTTTCATTACTTCACAGAAGGAATTCCTGATACAAAACTGGGGAAAAAACCCCATAAACTGACACTTCTTTTTTTCCATCAGTAAAATTCAGGCTCAGAAACAGGCACCCTATGAAAACTTTCCTCCCCCTTGCAGCTTCCCCTGATCTTTTTCATACACAATCTGTAGCCGAATAAGAACACCACAGCTACAGTACAGTGCTAGTACCGATACAGTAACATTGCTCTTCTGAAGGGCATTCATTTTTGTCGAAACAAATGCTGCATCTCATGCACTGACTGTTATGATTCCATTGCCTTGCATAACATGGTTCTATGCAGCTGAAGTTATAAAGAGCCAGTCCATTTATTCTTCTACTTTTCATCAATGCACAAGGTTATGCCAAATGTTTTTATACCATTCTTGCCTAACAGAAAAAGAAAGGATTCCTCATAAAAAGTTTGGTTTCTAAAAAATGCCAAGCATTTAAACATTTATTAGAAACAGTTTTAGTTCCTCATTAATCTGAAAACGAAGTATTATTGATTTACAATGAGCAATTCATCCGATATCCATCGGCAGCATATAAAAACAGAGTCTGAGAATTCAGAAACGGGTGATGCCTGTTTGGCAGCAGCTTGCTATGTCCTGCCAATGGCATAACCTGTCCAACTGGATGGGAAACAGCCCTGCTCTTTCTGTGTGTTCTGCATGCTTGACTGTGTATGTCCCACAGATCGTAGGCTAACCCACATTTATTTTTATATTACAGGATCAGCAAGTCTATATTAGATCAAGGCTTGGGGGACTTTACAGATTGCTTAACCTCAGTCACCCAGGTTCTTAGTCACTCCAGTGTTGAGCATGGTAAAAATAGATAAATTACACAGATAGATTGACACAGAGACATACACATCTGTGCACATAGACATACATATCCCTAGGGCCTGATGGAACAACTCCAGTTGAGTACACTGAGCTTTGGATCAGGACCAACGTTAGTATACGATACAGACTAAGTGCCTCTGATCTCTGAAACCAGTTTTAAAGGCTAACATGGGGAGTGAGCCTCCATTCTGTGACCCTGGTTTTCCACCAGTGTAACTCTATTGGCTTTAGTGGCATGTAAAACCAACGTAATGAAGTGGAGAATTATGCTCACATTATGTTTTTTAAGTACCTTATTAGCCTGCATATTACACCCTTTTTAGTGAGTTGGCAGCTGTGCAAAGGACTCCAAGGACCTAATTCACTGAAGCTGATACGACTCTTCCCACTGGTTTTGGGTCAGGGCCCTACATTATTCTGCACGTTCTGGGGAGAGGATATTATAAAGTGGTACAGTAAAGGTAAAAGGGTGTTAATGAAAGTCCCCCGAGGAAGTCATGGCTTTCATTAGTCTGGAAGAGTTTTCCACAAATTAAAAATGTTTTTAAAAAAGACATTTTAAAGTGTGCCAAATGTTCCTGCACATGATTTTTTTCTTCCTTGTTACCATTAAAAAAGAACAAAACCCAACCAAATATTAGGAGAGAAAAAAAACAACATATATTTTCCAGCCTAAATAGATTTGTTTACAGCTCGTAACACACAGTAAGTGGATGGGGTGGGGATGGAAGGTAGGGGGCAGAGAGATAAGAGAAAGAAACACATCTGTGCCACCCCACCTCCTTAGCTGCGTGCTTGGCCCTGGGGGTGAATTGCCTGCCAATGCTGCTTGATCTTAACTCTTCCCTCTCACTCCTTTCAAGGCTGCCTACCTCTCAGAATCCTGTCTCTCAGCCTTTAGGGCTGCACCTGCTTTCCTCCTCTCTGCTGCCATTGGCCATGCATGTCTCTTCTGGTGGCCTCCTGTCACACCCAGCCCCATTGCCTGCACCAGCTTCCCACACACATGCACTTAATGAGCAGGCAGAGTAATTGCTTTCGTAACACTTTTCCCACAATGACATTTCTCAGTTTGCTCAGGCAGGATTAAGCGTTATGGTGCCAGTTCCTCGAGTCCTGTCTCAGCCCAAGTTCCCTCAATGGGTGCTTTGTCCAAGGAAGGACTGCTGGACCCATAGCTAGAAGAGGCTGGGAACTACAGAGCTATCAAAGACTGGATGCAAAATCCAGCTCCTCCATGATCTCCTGCCACCTCTTTGTTCCTCAGCTTTTGCAGAATGGAAATCAACAACAGAGACCTCCTCCACAGAAGAAGTAGGAGAGCAAATGCATCAAAGACATGGTGATGACCAGTTCCCGGGTCTCAACAAGCACCGGAAACACAGCTGAAATGAAAAAGAGAGTAACTAGCAACTTCCTGAATTTATGACAATCCTTGGCCAGGACTGCGAGCCAAATCCTTCAAAAGAAGATAGGCCAAGTTCCATTCATTTGATATGTCAGTATAAAAGTGGAGGCCAAAGGGCAACTGCAGATTTCAGAGCCTATGAACCATAAAATACTACTTGTCCAGACTTCTTCACAATGAACCCGGAAGATTCAGTTATGTTGATTTGACTCTTCCCTTCTGGCATTGGGTTAGGGCCCTAAGTTATCATGAGAAACCTATGAAGGGCTTCTGAAATCTGAAGGGCTGAAATCTGACAGAAGAATAATTGAAGGTTTTGATTACTATTGAAATGACAGTAGCTCCTGGAAACTCAAACAGATGTCACAGTCCAAAAGAGGAGACAATCACAGAGCAGGCAGCTGCAAATAGTTCTTGATCAAAGTAGGAGAAGAAAACGCAGGTGGGCTGAAGGTCATACAAGAGATGAGAGTGAGAAAGTTAAAATAAGCCCTAAGCCTCACATGTTACAGTGCTACATCCATTCTAGTGCACTGCTTGTCAGTGTGTTCACTCATACTCCTTGTGACTGTGTTTCTCTGGGTTTTGTTCAGCAGTACCCAGATAACTTTTCCTTTGACCATAGGCATGCTGCACAAGGAGGTAACATTCATTGGCATAGCTTGCCTGGACATTTTATGAGCTAATAGCTTGCTGAGGGTGCACTCAATGCCACTGTCCACATCGCTGACAAAGATGTTGCACAGGAACAGTCCCAGCACCAATGCCTGAGGGACATCACTAATCACTGGTTTCCACTTGGATATCAAGCCATTGATGGCAAATCTCTGAGTGTGATCATCCAACCGAATCCTTACCCACCACATAGGTCCATCCATCAAGCTCATGCCTCTCCAGTTTAGAGACAAGGATGTTGTTCAGGACAGTGTCAAATGCCTTTCACAAGTCCAGGTAGGTGATGTCAGTTGCTACTACCTTATCCACCAACACTGTATCCCCATCATGGAAGGCCATCTTATCTGTCAGGAACAACTTTTCCTTAGTCAAGATCCATTTCGGTTGTCACCAGTTGCCTCATTTTCCATGAGCCTTAGCACAGTTTCCAGAAGAATCTGCTCCATGATCTTACCAGGCACTGAGGTAACAAACCAGACTCTAGTTCCCCGAGTCTTCCTTTTATCCCGTTTTAAAAATAGAGGTTATTTTTCAAGCAGGTAACCCTTGAATATTATGCAGCTTTCTTGAGCCCCTTTTCCATCCAGGAATTTATCCCATGGTACCCTACCAAACAAAACCCTGAAGAGGCCAAAGTCTGCTCTCCTGAAGTCCA